ATAGACTCTTTCAACCGAAAAATTATGAAAAAATGATATCACTTGCTATGAACTTCATAGAAACCTGGAAAATCGGGTTATACCTCGCCCAACTAACCATTCTTAACTTAAATCACTTCCTTCTTAACAATCAAAGAGCGTAGAAAATCTTACGGCCTCAACTGCACCAGAGTTGTATAAAAACAAGAAAATTATGGCACAATTTGAAGAATTTATCGATGAAAATTATCGACACTTGAAAACTATATCGAAACTAACCCGACGTTTTGAGAATTGTAATCGCTCCAATTGAAGATCTGAAAAATTCAACAACTTGAGAGTAGCAAAACAAGTTTCGATCAAATAACAGGGCAAGAGCAAAAAATTAACCTAAAACGTACAATTGAAATCAATCTTAGGAGAGAGCCTGAAGCCCGAATTTTTTTTTATAAAAAAAATATTATCGTCACAAGCACCTCGAATTTAGAAACGTTTTTTATATCAAACTTAAGCTCTACTAATGCTACTCCGATACCTATCAACAGATTGCAAAAATCATCAGAGTAAAAATAAAGATGAAGCCAATCTTTGGAGCGAGCCGGAAGCCCGATTATTTTTTCTTCTTAAAAAACGTATATCGTCCCAAGCACTTCGATTTTAGACACGTTTTTTGTATCAAATTTAAGCTCTCCTACTGCTACTCCGACATCTATCAACAGACATTAAAAGTCATCAGAGTAAAATTGAAGCCAATTTTTGGAAGCCAACAGCTTCAAAATGATAAAATTGAAGCCAATTTTTGGAGCAAGCCGGAAGCCCGAAAAGAAGTAATTTTTTACTTAAAAAAACCATATCGTCACATTTCCTTCGGAATAGGAGTGTATTATATACCCAAATCTAGCTCTAATAATTTTCTGTCAATGGCAAAAAAAAAATTTGAAAATTGTTTTATTAACTCTATGATACAAAACCTGCGACAGTTTTTTTTCAATTAAAATCTTCGCAACCACGCTGAGATTAGCAACGTACTAGATATCAAAATTAGCCCTTTTGAAATTCTAACGATTGAGTTTTTTTAATATGAAAGGCAGAACATTTTTTGAAGCGATATTTCATGCTAAATCAGGCCCTCAAACTGACATTATGAATTGTTTCATCCAAAAATATTGCTGTTAACACACTTCTATAACAGAACTGAATACGTATCAACCAGTTGCGATATTTTTTTCTAGATATTTTCATCCCTGAAAAAATTTTGTAAAAAAAAAATTTCAATTTTTTTGGGGTAGACAAACGCAAAAAGTGCGCACCTAAAGCGGCATGTCAATTTGACTGTTTGTTTTTTAAATTTCGATTTTTTTATTTTGATAGTTTTCAAATTTGGCCATTTCTGAATTAGTTTAGGAAAATTAACCTTCTTGTACACATCAAAGTTGCATAAAAACAAGAAATAATTCAGAGCAGAATTCGATCAGCTGTTCAAACCGCATTGTTGTTTATCTAATATACACATATGACAAACAGAGTGTTCAAAAACGATCTATTTTTTTTATTCATTACTACAATAGCTCAAAACTTTTAAAAAACCATTAATTGGAAATTGCTAAAAAAAACGAAAATTAATTGGAACGCACCAGACCGTGAAAAAAAAATTGCTCACTAGAAAACTATATCGACAGACAAACGCACTATAAATGTTTCTCAACAAAGCAAAACTAGCTCTGTAATTTCGATTTTTTTAATTTTGATAATTTTCAAATTTGGCCGTTTGTCAAGTAGTTTAGGAAATTTAACTTTCTTGCACACATCAAGGTTGCATGAAAACAAGAAATATCCGATTAAAATTTGAAGTTCCAACAATTGAGTTTTTTTGATATGAAAGGCAGAACATTTTTTGAAGCAATATTTCATGCTAAATCAGGCCCTCAATTTGACCTTATGAATTGTTTCATCCAGAAATATTGCTGTTAACACACTTCTATAACAGTACTGAATACGTATCAACCAGTGGCGATATTTTTTTTCTTTATAATTTCATCCCTGAAAGAATTTTGTAAAAAAAAAATTTCAATTTTTTTGGGGTAGGCAAACACAAAAAGTGCGCACCTAAGTTTAACCTTCTTGCACACGTCAAAGTTGCATGAAATTAAGAAATTACCGAGAGCAAATTTCGAACAGCATACATACATACATACATACATACATACATACATACATACATACATACATACATACATACATACATACATACATACATACATACATACATACATACATACATACATACATACATACATACATACATACATACATACATACATACATACATACATACATACATACATACATACATACATACATACATACATACATACATACATACATACATACATACATACATACATACATACATACATACATACATACATACATACATACATACATACATACATACATACATACATACATACATACATACATACATACATACATACATACATACATACATACATACATACATACATACATACATACATACATACATACATACATACATACATACATACATACATACATACATACATACATACATACATACATACATACATACATACATATATACATACATACATACATACATACATACATACATACATACATACATACATACATACATACATACATACAAACATACATACAAAAATACATACATACAAATATACTTAGAAAAATCTTTATCACTTATATGGTTGAACTGAAAATTTGATAGGTGGGCTACGAGATCCAATGTTTATCTCAAATAACCTTATTCCTGTTTAGTTAAATGCATTCCTAAATATTTTTAGTAAAATTAAGGTTAAGTTAAGGTAAATTACCTTAATTCAGTTAAGGTAAATTTTACCCTAACAATATTTTAAGGTAAAGTTAAGGTAATGTTAGGGTAAATTTTACCTTAATTTTTTTTTACCTTAACTCATTTAGGGTAATTTTACCTTAACATTTTTTTGAGTCAGTGTATTTTAAAACATAAAAAGTGCCATCCGGATTATTTAAGAATTGTACGTTCATAATGTGATGTCTTAAATAAGCTCAGTCCAAAAAAAAACAAGACTGTTAGATGGGTAGCGCATTCGCATCCTTCCTCGAATCAACTCTGCGTAATTACGGCAGTAATAACTAAGGGGTTGATTCGAGGAAGGGTGCAAACGCACTCTCTCTCAATCTACGGGTCCTTTTTCGGGGCGAGCACTACTGTAAGACATCAACTTGTAGGTATGATTCTTAAATGTTTCTGTGAGCATTTTGGATTACCCTTACACTGAGCAAGGGAGCAATGAGCTCACAAAAAATGTTGTTTTACTAATCCAAAACAAGCTACTTGTCAGTTTTACCCCTTTCGTTAAAATAAAACTACGGTATCGATTTTTGTTTGTCAATATAAGTTCTTTTCAATGTTAAGCGAGCGCTCCCTCACTGAGGTTCCAAAGATTATATCTTTTTAAATCGGTTTCGTATTCAAATACATTGCCATTATAATAGATTATAATTACAACTTGAGGCAACGCAATCGATTTTTTTTCCATTATGATCCGTTCGTTACTTTCAAAGAATGTAATTCAATTATGATGAATTTAATACATATAACAATGGAATAAATGGATTATAATCTTGTGGAATATAACTTTATGGATTATAATTTTATGGATAAAGAATTTATGGAATAAATGGATTATAATTTTCAATTGAATTTTTCCAAAATTCCAAGAAAAACTGCAACTAGTTCTGCATTACTCACAACATACTCGACATCTAAACCTACTCACTTTTTCTCAATTTTTGCCAACCAATATCCTTCACATTTTAAACAATAAATTGGAAGAACCCCATACTTAACACCATCCCTTCACACATTTTTACTTTTATTGCTGGGTGGTGCAAAGGGCTCCAGGGTTGAGCTCACATTATAAAATAGCGATAAAAGGTAAAACAAAAACAGCGATCGCCATCGATAAATAATCGATGTTTTTTTGCCACAGTAGCAAACTTTATCGATAGATTATCGCTACGTTGGCTAATGTTCAGTGATGAAATAGCGATAAAAACTTATCAAAACAATCAACTAACTGGAAGCAATCCCACGAACCAACAGCTTTGCAGATATGCCTGTAACCTCTGCTCCATCAAGTCATAGCTCTGCGAAAATGAAAGAGCTTATCAACTAAAACTCTCATTTGAAAGTTACTAGAGTGAGTTTTAAGAAAAGCATTAAACGTCTACGAAAGCATTACTGAAAAAGCTCTGAAAACTCTGAATCACCGCTGGAAAGTAGCGATCACTGTGATAATACAGAAAAAGCTATAATCATTGGTGGGACTTCAACCGGGCTGGTAAGTGTCTGTAAGGGGGCAAGTTTGGGTGGGACAAGTGTTGGCATTGAAGGAAGTGAAAATGGTGGTGTAAAGTGTGGGTTATAGAGTGAGTTAGTGTGGGCGAGGGCACGTGGGGTTAGGAGAAGTCAATGCGTGTGGGGGTAATTAATAAGTGGGAGGCTTGAGAGAAAAGTGAGAACCGACAAATGCGATGACAGAAAACAAAAAGACAAGAGAAATTTTTTACATACCAAACTTAAATCCCAAATTAACGATTGCAACAATCAGGTGTTGAACAAATACGGAAACTTTTTGGAAGGTGCAAGTTACCGCTTTAAAAAAATTATAATGTCTTCCAACATTATATTCCATTATTACACACCAACAAAAAATGACATTCATTCGAATCACAGCTGAAAACGAATGAATATGGTTTGACACTTGATTTATTTCTCTTTTTGTGGTACCTATTTTTTAAGGGAAGTATTTTTTAAATAAAATGAATTCGAATACAAAGCTCGTTCGCGTTTTTATTGGTTGAAACAAAAACATGAAAAAAATATCTTAAGACAGAAAATTGCGTACGTTAACTAGAAACATATAATCGTACATTTAAGTTTGCTGTCATAAACCATTAAGCAATTAGATATCAAAAAATGCGACGTGAATTCATGTGGCAGTAACTCAGAGTGCATTAATCTTCCTGGAGGCTACAAGTGTGAGTGTAACACTGGATACAATTCTTCGAGCGGTAATGGAACCTTGTGCAGCGGTAAGAGTTTTATTAAACATTGTTACGATCAATTTTTTTATAAGATTTTTGCTTCCAAAATTTTTATATGAAGGTATGGGAAAATGTGCACTTCAAAATTGTTTTTTTTTCATGCATGAATGTTTTCATTTTAAGAAGGAATATTAGAAACAAAAAATTTGTCTGAAAAGAGCAGGTTTTTTTCTTTTCCCCACTTGCAAATTTTTACAAGTAAAATTACTATTCTAGCAACCGATTGTTATGAAAACTGACAGGCTAAGTATTTAGGCCATGACAAGCATGTTTTGCCTTCATAAAAAACCTTGTAAAAACCTTCATTACATCATAAAATTGATGTTGATGTGAGGTGCTCATGGTATTTTGTTCTCCAGACAAAAATTGACTTTAAACCAATTTTTGCTAGCATCATTCTATCAAGATTGGTTGTTTTGAGCTCCAATTCGAAAGTAAAGTTTCGCTGATGTTTGGGTTGGGGGGGGGGGTAGGAAAAAGATTCAAGAATCAAAAATTTTGACCGAAAAACGATGTAGGCGAAAAAAATATTTTCAGCCTTTTCGTTGTCTTAAACTTGAACGCAAAGGTGAAAAAAAATTCTGTCTTATAAATTAACATAACAAGGTGGGTTTTTATGCCAGTTTTTTAATTCATATGAGTGTCGTCTCAACGTTTTTGATAAAGATCATATCGACAAAAAAAATCCGAGACAGAAAGCTTTCCAAGTCGAGTTGAGGCTACCCGCAAAGACGAAAATGGTTTCGGATTGATTTAAATTAATTATAAATTGATTTTAACACAACCCAAATTTTTGGTTCTGAAATAGATTTTGAATCCATTTCAATAGTTCTTTCCTAAAAACTTTAAAGTTAAGTGTATAAAGTATCGTTTTAAATATTTTTCAATGTTTTGTTTTATTCTTTAGAACCCATAAAAATCTTTTGAATCCATCTAAATTAAAACAACTCTCATCCAAGGTCTAAAAAATCGATAAACTTAAACCCATAAATATCTTTGTCAATCCATCCAAGTCTAAAAACAATCATCCAAGGTTTTAAAAAAACTCGCTTCATATGGATTCACACATAACCCTATTTATCCAATCAAAAATATGGTCACTATTAGTCAGATTTGAGCTCAAAAACGTTCAATTAAATTGTCAAAAGTCATCAATGTAAGTGTGAATTTGAGCAAAAAACAAAAAAGTTTTTTCCACGGTTTGATAAAGAAAAGAGCACATCTTCAATTGTAATAAAAAAACACGAGATACAAACAATCGTAAAAATTAATTCTAGTCTAAAGGGTAACAAGATTGCTCGGATCAGGGCGAAGCCCTGAATGTTTCGACTGCCTTTTAACGTTTAAGGAGCAGTAATAACCGATAAAAATAAAAAGTAATAAAATAAAATGAAAGTTTTTTTTTCTAAATTTGAATTTTTTAAACGAAAATCATCCCCCCACACGCCATATAGAGAACAAAAGGATATATTTTGCTCCTTGTAACAAATCAATTATGGCGAATTAGCTTCTTCCAACCAATTTGGAACGATTTCTAAGACGGATTAAATCTCCGCTTACGCGTTAATAGCGCAAAAAATATCGCGCGTTAATTGTCCCAAATTGGCCAAATTGGCAATCTTTAAACCCCCATAATTTTACGAAAAATGATTACAGGTGACATATCTTTTCAAAATTAAGCTCAGGTCAACAATACCTTTTGATTGATAAAAAAAATTTCCGTCAAAAATGGCTTGTTAAAAAGTCGAAATTTGTCTGAAGAAAAAAAACCCACGCCGAGCACTAATATTCCGTTACTTTCGTATCGAAAGTCGGAACAATAAGTCTAAAGGGGTGACTATTTTCAAGCACCTAAGTATGCTGGATGATAATCAATGAAATGTACTTCTGAGACAAAATACTCCACTATAATTAAATAAGGTTCTAAAATTTGGACCATGCAATGATTGTTTTGCAGCTTAATCAAAAACAATCTTTCGGATTAGTTTGTCTTATTTATGCATTGTACTGACTTTGCTAATCAGTTCCAACATATAATGTTTGGCATAAAATGGATATATTGGTCATTCACATTGCGTGTGTTATATTTTCTAAAAACAAACAAATTTCAATATTCAGGAAACTCCATCATTTTTCTGCCAAAAAAGCGCCATTTTGCAGCTTGAGCTTTGTCTTGAGCAAAAGATTATATGTTAAAAAAAAGTGATTTTTTAAAATGGTTTCAAAAGTTTTATTACGGTTTAAAATTGTGTACAAATGAATCAATTGCTGCTTATAATCCAATTCCTTTATTGATTATTTTTTCAAACATGCTCAGCTCCAAAATTTATCCAATCACTTTTAAAATGTATGCTAATAAATGGGTTTCTTTATGTTTATTAATCAAAATTAGTCAAAACATTTGTTTAAGACATCAATGAATGTGATAGTCTGGTATGCGGACAAAACTCTCGATGTCAGAACAGCCCTGGGAGCTTCAGCTGTGAATGTATAAGAGGCTATTTCTTACCGAACGAACACTCAAGTTGTGTTGGTAAGAAAATTTTCGAATTCAAAAGAAGCTCAAGATTTGATTTTCAAATCAATAGATATCAAAGAGAGAAAACAGTTATTCCATGAAGTCTATAAATAAAATCAGCAATGGAAACTTTCTTTTTGCATCTAGAATTAATTTTGTCATTAAGGCTCAAAGATTTCTTATACAAATAAATCCTTTTTTGAAAGCTTTTAAAGCTTCTAATATATGTTTCAATGTCCTCCTGATAGATATTAACGAATGCGAACGCGAACAGACTGTCTGTGGAGACAACTCATTGTGCGCAAACAGCATTGGAAACTACAGTTGTGAATGCATGACAGGTTACATGTCGCCAAGCGGTTCCAATTGTGTTGGTAAGTTTATTCCTTAAAACTAATCAATATAATCTCCTCCTTCAAATGAAATTGTAACAATGAGCAGAATAACTTTTATGCCAACGAATCTCCGAGTCGCATAACAATCATTGGAACTAATGCAAGGTCAAACTGTGTAACTTGTAATTTGTAAGAACATTTCTAATTTTATTTGATCTACTTTGCTACTTTGGATTACACGAGCAAACAGCTGAAACATTGTATCGTTCAAAAAACAGGCAAACTTACGGAATCCGTAACATTGCTAGTTTTTGTGATCTTCTTTGCTGTTTTAGGTTCACAAGCAAATAACTAAAACATCGTTTTGCTTAAATTTGCTCCGAAGACACACAGCTGAAACAGCAACAAAACTTGCGGAACTCGCATCAAAGTTCGCAGAATCCGAATTAGTTTTGCACAACCTACGAAATTAGTGCTTGTTGCGTATAATAGAAAAACTTTTTTCCGGATTCCGCTATTGTAAGCAAAATCCGCAAAAGAGAAGCGATAAGCGCAAATTTGTAAGCTGAGTCCGCAAAATGTAAGCGGAATCCGCAAAACTTAGAGAAGTCCTCATACGTTTGCGGAAGCAATCTCATTTTGCGGAATATGTTTATATTTGGGGCATCTGAATCAATATTAGCTAAAATTGAACGTTGCAGAATTCGCGATAAAACAACTGTGCGGACAAATTTTACGTTACACGTAATGAGCGCGGAGTCCATAGAAAATTTGAAAATGGAAGCAACCTCTTTTTTGGAGCTGGTTCAAATTCTTGTCTCTAGATTCCAGTAATATAGAGACACCATTTGTGTGCTTATCCCCCGCAACTTTTTGCCTCCTAATGATTTTCACCAAGATCGCTTTATTCGTTAATCATGAAAACCTTCATTAAAAACAGAACCCTCTGTGTTGAGATAAAAAATCTTCTTAATTCAAACTCTTCAATTTATCTATTTTAAAGCAAACTTTCTTTAAAACTCTACTTTTGAAGCATTCAAACGTTTTTAAAATCAAAATTTGATAGACAAGATAAATGCGAAAAAAAAACAATATAAGTTCAACTATCAGCGCTTCATTCTTCTATCATTATAAAATTACATGAACACACTTGCAGCGCTTCAGGTGATCTAGAAAAGTTCTCTATTCCTAAACGTTCTCGTTGCAATGGCTATTGTTCGAACTTTGTTTGAAAAAATAAGTGATTACTGCATTTAAATTTGTTTCCATTGTTTTTGATAGATATCGACGAATGCGAAAATATTGTTTGCGGAGAGAACTCACAATGCCAAGCTAGCAATGGGAACTACAGCTGTGAATGTCTTTTTGGCTATACATCTCTAAATGGATCCAATTGTGTTGGTAAGCCTCGTGTTATTTTCAAAAGTAATATCAAACTCTCATTTATCTCATTCTGATTAAATTGAACCCTTAAGTGTTCTTAAGTAGGATGAAGACAAAACATCTTGGTTGAAAGGTATTTTAAAAAAAAAATTTTAACAAAATTTTTTTCGATAGAAGCTACAATTGACAATGTATGAACAAAAAAAACAGCTAGTATTTTTCTGATTTTTAATTTCCTGTGAATCAATTTTTCAAAACTTTTGCATACCTAAAACATCTCACCCGGAGAGATGATTACCTTTCAGAATTTTAACCAGACATAAAAATTATTCAGTTTTTTTTTGGTTTGGAAAGTGTTACCCCACTTAATGATTATAAAATACTGTCATGGATAATGCATGATGCGGTCAAACCAATAGCGCCAACTTATTACAATTGATTACAGAAATAATGGCTGGCAACAGTTTATCGGATAGGGCTACTAAGTTCATCAACTTAAGAAGGGGATGCAAAACATGAAACAACTTACAGAATAATATCTAAAGCCCTGCATGAGCAATTTTTTTGCAACTTTTATTTTTAAAAAATTGATCACAAAGCTCAGTAAACGCATCCAATACTTCTAAAAAAAAATAGTTTGTTTCCGAAAATTTTTTTCTCAGAAACAGAAATTTCAAGTTTACAGAAACAATATGACTTCTTACGTGCTCTTCTTGATCTAACTAAGACTTTACACCCCATTGATAACATTTTTTAAGGTAAAACCTAAATAATTAGGCTATCATAAACTAATTTTAGCCATAAATTAATATTACCCATAAACCTTAATAAAAAACATCCGATTCACTCACAGTCGGAGTAAGAGCTTCTTGAGGTACATTCGCAGGGCTAGAATTTTCATGCAAAATTGGAAAAACATGCACAAATTTTTACGAAATATGCACCTAAACATGCACTGAAAAAGTTAGTCAGAAACTCAATTATCTTTGAACACAGTGTTGTACCAATATACAATCAAGTGTTGTTTCAAGTTCTCAATTGTGAGTCTCATTCTCTGGGGAGACTGATTTGTCCCATGCTTGAGAACACTCTCTCAATGTCGACTGAAACCATAGAAGCATTCCGGAAAATTGCAGCGTCTAATGGGTTGACATCGGTAGTGGATAGTTTCTCACCCCGCAATATAAGTGAAATTTCTGTGAGCTGCTTGAAATTAAGATTCCTAACCAACACTGAGTCCAGTTGTTCTTTGTACTTGTCACCTTGTATCGCGGCCAAAACTTTATTCAAAGTGTCGAATTGGGAAACCAAAGACAGTCGGCCTTGCAGTCTGGTTATAACTTGTGGCAAAAACTCAAATGAAGCAAAAATAAACCCGAGTTCTTGCATCAAGTCGTTATTCATGTAAATTCGTTGAATCTCTCCATTTTTTCTAATTAACCATGATATAAAAAAATCGGTAAACTTTAAAATTTAACCTTTGCAGATGACTACATAATTTTGAGCCATGCTAAAAAGCATTACAGTTTAAAATCATACTTGAAGAGAATATCAAATTTCAAATGATTTTTTAAAAATAAAACTCCTCTAAAAATTAATCACGATAAGAACGAAGTTTATGATACAGGGACAATTAGGACAAATCATACGCTTAGAGATAAAATTAAAAATTAATTTTTGAAACTAAACCTTTGGTTTTTTAAACTTCTATTCAGAAAAAATTGAAATTGAAATTTTTAAATAAGAGATATCGAAAATAAATGCGGCAAAACAGCAGATTGCGTAATGACAGGAGAGTTTTAGCCGTGTAAAGCAAACCATTTCTTATTTTTTTAAATAATCAATTGACAAGAGTATATTAAATAGTTACAGACAAAAAAAGCGCGTAAAAGGCATCACTATAAGCTCTCTTCATCAAAAAAGTCTGTGTGACGGCAAATCCACCATTATGAAAACAATTTTAACTTTTCATCAGACCTAAATTTAGTCTTCTAAAAATGGCTAGCATCAGAAAAGTACAAATAGTTTCTCTTTAGTTTATTATTGAGTATCTTCAGTTGCCTCTAACTATATTTGACAGATAAAAATGATTACAAAGAAAGTCTTTCGCATATTTTAAAATACGTCGAAGTTTTTTGAGTTCTCGGCAAAATCATAAATTATAATTAATAATATTTTTCGTAAAGCCTTGGAATTTTTGATAATTTTAGCCATTGTTGTGGTCAAAGAGTCTATGAAATTTGAAATTTTTGGAAGAGTCTAGGATATCTTTCTTAAATTAGCCAATATTCTGAGAATTTTCAAAATTATCAAACTTTGAAGGAATTGGGACATCATTTTCCCATTAGGTTGATTTTTAAATTGATTGAAACCTCTGACTTGTCTTTCATATTGTTTGATAGATATCGATGACTGCGAGGAAGCAGTTTGCGGAAACCATTCTATGTGTAATAACAGTATGGGAAGTTTCTTGTGTCAGTGCAATGCCGGCTTTACATCACCAAATGGTTCCCATTGTGTTGGTAAGAATTTTTACTTACCGCATTGACCTATTTGCTACGTTTATGTGAAAAATACTTGACTGTAATCGTTTTCTATATTTCATCAAGTTATTTGGCTATATATTTTACTCACTCTTTTAATGAACTTTACTCGCTCTCAGGTTTACCAAATTGAAATTTTTCTCTAAAGTTGCGACGAAATTATTAAATAACTTGAGGTGGAAGTTGAAAAAAGCAAAAAAAATTATCTTTTTTTTTTCAGCCAAAAAATTGGTTTCAAACGGTTTTGAGGATTATTTTTGAAGTTTAGAAGCTATCAAACTCCATCTACATCTATTTCAGACAGTTTTTTTGTGATTTCACATAGTTTCTCAGAAAAATCTGTTTGAATCGATTTAAAATCCTTTAGAGCTCCTAAAATCGTCTGTTAAATACGACAAATACAAAATAAAGAAAAAATTGTTTGTTCAAAAGAAAGAAAAAATAAAGTGTACTTCAAAATGATCTAATTTTTTAATTATTTTTTATTCCCTGCTACCCAAAAACACTGTAGTTAAAAAAAAAGAAACATTGAAGTTCCTGAATTTTGATACATTTTAACAAATATTGTTCAAAATTTACAGGCAGCGTAGTAGTAGAAGAAAAAGCAGAATTTCGTAAATCCTTGCATTTTTGACAATTTTAGCCATTGTTTTGGTCAAAGAGTCTGTGAAATTTTGGAAGAGTCTGGGATACTTTTCCTAAATTAGCCAAATTCTGAGATTTATCAAAAATATCAAAATTTGAAGGACGTGGTATCTCATTTTCTCATTAGGTTGATTCTTAAATTGATTGATACCTCTAACTTGTCTTTAATTTTGTTTGATAGATATCGATGAATGCGAGGAAACAGTTTGCGGAAACCATTCTATGTGTAATAACAGTATGGGCAGTTTCGTCTGTCAGTGCAATGCCGGCTATACATCACCAAATGGTTCCCATTGTGTTGGTAAGAATTTTTGCTGACTGCATTGACCTATTAGCTAAGTTTATGCGAAAATTACTTGAATGTATTCGTTTTCTATATTTCATCAAAAATTTTGGCTAGATATTTTACTCACTCTTTTAATGAATTTGATCGCTCTCAGGTTTACCAAACCAATTAGAGTAAATGAAAATTCATAAACACTTCGATTAACCTGCAGTTTGATACTTGCCAGCGTCGGCATGAATGGTTGATTTTTTCATGTTTTTTTTTCATGATTTTTAGAATGCAATTCAGTCGACTTTTGTGCTGATTGCGAGAAAAATTATTTCCGGAAGCTTCGAAGCGAATTGTTTTGTCGAATCACTTTAATCAAAAAATAGATTTTTTCGGAAATTTTGCTCATAATAATTTTTGATCAGTACGGCATTCTTTGGATTGCAAGTTTCGATTGAAATCTTTGAAATTATCAGTTCGGGGTCAGCTAAACAAATCAAGTGTCTGTAACTCGAGTAAACAATGATGCACACTTTTATTGAGCACAAAATTTTTCCCGAAGTTTGCGACAAAATTATTAAACAACTTGAAATGGAAATTGAAAAAGCAAAAAAATAGTTTTTTTTCAGCCAAAAAATTGTTTTCAAACAATTTTGAGGATTATTTTTGAATTTTAGAAGCTATCAAACTCCATCTACAACTATTTCAGACAGTTTTTTTTGTGATTTCACATAGTCTCTCAGAAAAATCTGTTGGAATCGATTTAAAATCCTTTAGAACTCCTAAAATCGTCTGTTAAATACGACAAATACAAAATAAAGATAAAATCGTTTGTTCAAAAGAAAGAAAAAATGAAGCGTACTTCAAAAAAATTAGGTTTTTAATTATCTTTTATTCCCTGCTACTTCAAAAGTTTTTAATTATCTTTTATTCCCTGCTACCCAAAAACACTGTAATTAAAAAAAAAGAAACATTGAAGTTCCTGAATTTTGATACATTTTAACAAATATTGTTCAAAGTTTTCAGCAGTGTAGTAGTAGAAGTGTGAGCAGAGTTTCGTAAGTCCTGGGATTTTTGACAGTTTAAGCCATTGTTTTGGTCAAAGAGTCAATGAAACTTTTGGAAGAATCTAAGATATATCTCTTAAATTAGCCAATATTCTGAGAGTTTTCAAAAATATCAAAGTTTGAAGGTTTGGGATATCTTTTTCTCATTTCTTATTTATCTTTTGATAGATATCGATGAATGCGAGGAAGCAGTTTGCGGAGACCATTCTATGTGTAATAACAGTATGGGAAGTTTCTTGTGTCAGTGCAATGCCGGCTTTACATCACCAAATGGTTCCCATTGTGTTGGTAAGAATTTTTACTGACCGCATTGACCTATTTGCTACGTTTATGTGAAAAATACTTGACTGTAATCGTTTTCTATATTTCATCAATTTATTTGGCTAGATATTTTACTCACTCTTTTAATGAACTTTACTCGCTCTCAGGTTTACCAAACCATTTAGAGTAAAGGAAAATTCATAAACACTTCGATTAACCTGCAGTTTGATACTTGCCAGCGTCGGCATGAATGGTTGATTTTTTCATGTTTTTTTTTCATGATTTTTAGAATGCAATTCAGTCGACTTTTGTGCTGATTGCAAGAAAAATTAATTCCGAAAACTTCGAAGCGAAGTTGCTTTTGTCGAATCACTTTAATCAAAAAATACGTTTTCGCTGAAAATTCGCTCATAATAACTTTTGATCAATACGGCATTCTTTAGATTGCAAGTTTCGATTGAAGTCTATGAAAGTATCGGTTCGGGGTCAGCTAAACATATCAAGTGTCTGTAACTCTAGTAAACATTGATGCACACTTTTATTGAGTACAAAATTTTTCGCAAAAATTGCAACAAAATTATTAAATAACTTGAAGTGGAAGTTGAAAAAAACAAAAAAAAATTAACTTTTTTTCAGCCAAAAAATTGGTTTCAATCAGTTTTGAGGAATATGATCGGATTTTATAAGCTACCAAACTCCATCTACATCTATTTCAGACAATTTTTTTGTGATTTCAAATATTTTCTCACATAAATCTGTTTGAATCGACTTAAAAACCTTTTTAGTTCCTAAAATGGGCTGTCAAATACGACAAATACAAATTAAAGGAGAAATCGTTTGTTCAAAAGAAAGAAAAAATGAAGTGTACTTCAATCCGTTTGTTTTTTAAATTTTTTCTATGCTACGCAAAAACACTAATTAAAAAAAAGAAACATTGAAGTTCCTGAATTTTGATACATTTTAACAAATATTGTTCAAAGTTTTCAAGCAGTGTAGTAGTAGAAGTGTGAGCAGAGCTTTGTAAATCCTTGGATTTTTGCCTATTTTAGCCATTGTTTTGGTAAAAGAGTTATGAAAATTTTGAAAGAAACTAGGATACCTTTCCTAAATTAGCGAAATTCTGAGATTAATCAAAAATATCAAAATTTGAAGGACGTGGTATCTCATTTTCTCATTTGGGTTGATTCTTAAATTGATTGAAACCTCTGACTTGTCTTTAATTTTGTTTGATAGATATCGATGAATGCCAGGAATCAGTTTGTGGAAATCATTCTATGTGTAATAACAGTATGGGTAGTTTCGTCTGTCAGTGCAATGCCGGCTATACATCACCAAATGGTTCCCATTGTATTGGTAAGAGAAACTTTTTCTTGCCAAAACTTCTTATTGTTTGATCATCAAACAATCAAACAAAAGTTAGCACGGATAATTTCAATGATTTAAATTGCTTTTTGAAGTATTTTTATCTGAAAAAAAGGTTAAGAGGTTTGATGGCACCAGCGTTTTATCCGACAGTTAATGTGAGCATTCGCTAATGTAGATAAACGATGAATAATCAAATTATTCAGTTGAACTCATCACGTGTTGAAAGAATACCCTATATTTTGATTTATTGTGTTCTTTTTTTATATACTTTATTTTTTTGACGTTTTTTTGGAATATAATTTTGATTTGAATCACTAAAATTGCAGGGAAAGCAGATTTACTTTATAGAACTCAATATTTCAAGACAAAACTAAATAAAAATTTTCAACTTTCAAAAAAATTGAAGCATTTTGTAATGCAAAAAGTAATTCTTGTCTCACCGACAAAGTGAGACAAAGCTGATAATTGTTCTAAGTTTTCAGTTTTCGTTTTTTTCAACGTAGACATGACAAAATGGCAGAGCGTTGAAATTTTTTTATCAGTTCACGTACCACCACAAGCATGGTTTCTTATCAAGATTGAATTAACCGTAAACTCAAAATTCTCCGCAGTCCTAATCAAAATATTCGAGTCTATCGCCCAATTAATGTTGCGTCGAGTTTTGACATGGCAAAAATTGTAATCGTTTTCCCCTTTTTTGCTGACCGCATTGATCTATTCGTTTCGTTCATGCAAAAACTTTTTGACAGTAATAAATCTCTAGATTCTCTTCAAAATATTTGGCTAGATATTTCACTCACCCTTAATACACTTTACTCCCTCTCAGGTTTACCAAACCAATTAGAATGATGATATAACTTCGAAAATGTTTCAGTTAACCTGCAGTTTGATAGTTGCCAGTGTTGACATGAATGGTTGAAATTTCCACGCTTTTTCATGATTTTTAGAAAGCTTTTCAGGAGATTTCGTGCTGATTTTGACCTAATAACAGACTGCAAGAATGTTTAAGTACAAAAGCTTCGAAGCCAAATTGTTTTTGTCGAATCACTTTAATCATAAAATAGGTTTTAGCTGAAATTTCGCTCATAACAATTTTTGATCAATACGAGATTCTTTAGATTGCAAGTTTTGATTGATATCTATGAAATTATCGGTTCGAGGTCACCAAAACAAATCAAGTGTCTGTAACTCAAGCAAACATTGATGCAAACTTTTATTGGGTACAAAGTTTTTCCCAAAAAATGCGACAAACTTTTTGAATAATTTGAAGTGGAAGTTGGAAAAGCTACAAAATTTTTGTTTCATACAAAAAATGCTTTCAATCAATTTTGATGAGCTGTATTTGGATTTTAAATGCTACCAAACTCCATTTACATCTATTTCGGAAGTTTTTTCGTGATTTCAAATAGTTTCTCAGAAAAATTTTATTTGATCGATTTAATATCGTTTTGAGTTCCTAAAAAGTTCAATTTGAATCTTTTCCAATTGAAAATAGATTTTAACCTAATTTGAAATCATTTTGTCAACTTTATTTCTTTTGGTTTAAAAATACGACAAAAACAGTTTAATAATAAAGCTGTTTGTTCAATACAAAGAATAGATGAAGCGTACTTCAAAAAAGTTAAAGATTAGGTCAAAACGACATTTTCTAATTGTTTTTTATTCCCTGGTACGCAAAAACACTTGATTTTTTTAAAAAAAGAAATGCGATTTTCCTAAAAGTTGATACATATTAACAGATGTTACTCAAAGTTTACAGGCAGTGTAGAAATTGAACACTTTTCACAAAGACAAGACAATAGTTAATATAACACTATAGCTCAAAAACATGATTTAAGAGAGCTTAATTTTTTTCCATGATAGCTTTCCGTATGACATTTGGCTTGGGTATTTCTTAAATTGGTTCAGAAAAGTGTTATGTAATTTTTGTTGATGTGCAATAAAGTACGTTTGCAAAAAATTTCTCAATTAATTGGTGTTCATTATGCAATTAAACACTTTTTCTAAAAAAAAACTTCGAAAAGCTTCCAAAAAATGTGCAGAAAAGCAAAAGTTTTGAGATAGTTTTGAGTAATTATACAATGAGGAAAAAATCTAAGCGGGCTTATAAATGAGACCAAGATATCTGTGAAATCTGTTTTCAAAACCAGAAAAAAGCTTACGTAACGGATAGTTTTAAGTAGAAAAGCTTAGAGAAAAGCTTAAATAGAAAATAGAATAAGCTTTTCAGAGCTTATTTTTAAAGCTCTGTTTGAGATAAATTTATCCGTGAATCGCTCGAAAAAAAGCGAAAACTGCAAAAAAAAACACTTCTTAACTTACCTCGCGTGTTCTTTTAGGCGAAACCTAATAAACGGTAGTTAAGCCAAGGAAATCACAAAATACCATTTCAGTTTCTGGTATCATACAACATGAACTTGCGTTCAAATTCTTGGAGTGAACAGAGTAAAAGTGATGCATTGTCACTTTTTTCCTGTAGCAAGGCGTTCAGCTGCCATCTACTGCATTGATCTATTTAAGTTTTTTAGAATTTCTAATCATAGGTAGCAATTGGTTTGTCTGTTTCAGATATCGACGAATGCTCTGAAGTTGCTCCTTGTGGCTCAAACTCAGATTGCTCAAATTTTGAAGGCAGCTATAGCTGCAATTGTTTCTCTGACTTTTTCTCTCCCTCTGGCTCTCACAATGACTGTAAAGGTGGGCATTTAAACTCATCATAGATCAGTTCATTGATCTTTTTGTTCCGACCATTGAAAATCGGGAGCAAGTTTGTATTCGGGTGTAACTTAGTCTTTTTTCGTTTGTTCTCTACGCAAAATCAGCTAAAAATAATCAACGGACTGGGTTGAGTGACATATCATATTGAAGCCCTTTCACTCGTGATTCGAACGACATTTAAAAAATTCAAGAAACTTCGGTTTAAAGTTTTTGATTTTTGTCAAATTTCGATCAAGTCAGTGGGCTTCCATTAGCTTATTTATGCTTAATTTAGGCCTTGAAATATTAGGTTTACTCAATTGAAGTTCTTTTTGCTTTTTGGCGCTTTACGCTTCATCTTAGGAATCAAAAACTTCAAAAAAAACGGGAAAAAAGTTTAGAAAAGATTTTAAAAAATTTAATTTTTTTCTGTTTTTCTTATTTGTCTTCAATTTTTTTTTTAATTTTCATAGTGTACATTGATTGACAAAAATGTCTAAGCTCTACTTTTTTGCTCAGATTCCCTTATCACACCGCGCCGAAAAAACGACACTAACTTGAAAAAAAAACAACAATTTTGTGGTAATTTTTTAAGACGGGTCGAAACATTTTGTGATACTTGCAGAAAAACCGGCCATCATGGTTTAAATGTTTCAACTGACTGATGAGTTTTTAGTTTGTGCGATAAAAGGAAATCATTGTTTTGAGCGGGCTTAAAAGGTGGTTGCCATTTAGGTTCGTTTTTTACGTCTTGGTCAAATCTAAGCATAATTCGGTTTTGCTCAACCCCTGTATCGAGCTTATCGTTTTTCTTGTTATTTATCATTTTCTTCAAAGTTTCGACCTCAATATGGAAACAATTAGGGAACTAGGCAAACTTTCATACCAACAAAAAGTTCGAGAAAAAAATTTTCATATTGTTCTGAAGAATTTTTGTTTGTGACTTGATTGGTATTACAAGTTTAATACTTCATTGCCGATAATAATGACCGTTACTTCTGGCTTTTAGACTCTTTGCTACTTTATTGTTCCGACTTTCGATACGAAAGTAACGGAAAATTTGTGCTCGGGGTGGATTTTTTTTTCTTCAGGCAAATTTAGATTTTTTAACTAGCCATTTTTGACAAAATTTTTTTTATCATTCGACAGCTATTGTTGTCCTGAGCTTAAATTTGAAAAGATATTCCACCTGTGATCTTTTTTCGTAACGTTATGTGGGTTTAAAGACTGCCATTTTTGCCATTTTGACCAATTTGTGACAATTCACGCACGATATATTTCGCGCTATTAACGCGTAAGCGCAGAGTTCATCCGTCTTAGAAATCGTTCCAAATTGGTTGAAAGAAGCTTATTTGCCATAATTACTATGTTACAAGGAGCAATATCTATATTTTTGAACTTTATATGGCGTGTGGGGGATGGTTTTCATAAAAACTTTCAAGTTTTAGAAAAAATCTTTTTTTCATTTTGTTTTATTTCATTTAATTTTATAATGTTATTACTGCTCCATAAACCCTAAACGGCAGTCGGAACATTCAGGGCTTCGCCCTGATACGGGCAGTCTTGTTTATTATTGCGCTTCACCTAAATTTCAGCTAATTATGACCTTTATTTCGAAAGGTTTTAAAGTATATTTAATTTTGTCTGACCACGATCGACTAATATGGTCACGTATTACGCTTTTTTGATCACGGATTCCGCAGCCTTTGGTTTAGCCAGTGTCACGGAATCTGCGCCCAAAAATAAGATCAAACGAATGATGAATTGGTGATAATTTTTTTGAGGTCCAAGACCACCCAATCCACATGTGCAAAAAGTACACACCTAGACCTCGTATTGGACCTATTTTGACATATTAACAATGCGTGAACTCAACTCGACCTATGTTCTGATAGGCCTGACCTGAAATTCGCTTCTGCTTGTGTTTGACTAATAATTTGACTGTGACCGAACTGTTTTTCCGCTATAGCAGTTTTTCCTGTTTTGAGTCTTTAAATTTTGCATGCAATCTCTTCGTAAGTATGCCAAAAACTGCGCAAGTATATCGCGTTGAAGATCTTACTGCTTTGAAGATTCAAGACTTTGAAAGAGATTCCCCTGAATTTATTGTTTACAGCACACAATTTTTGCATCTGAATGTTATTGAATGCAACACTCTGATGAAGTTTTCGCTTGAGTAGATGTTCTTTCTTTTTTTTTAACAAAGAGGTCATTCGAAGCTTTGCATCACTTGAAATACCACAAAAAAAAACATTGCAAGCAATCAGAGAGAAAACGAACGCCACCAGGCCTCAACGATGAAAAAATAGACAATTTCATAATTGCAATTTTTTCATTATTTTGTCTCGAATGATGTTCACCAGCCTAAACAAGACCAGCAAAACAATTGCAGGAGTGACATGAGTGACTGGATTTTTATAACGAATGCCAGCTAAGCCGACAAAATATTGGTTAAGTCCCGTTGAGCCAAAAACAAAACAAACACCGAAACATGCACCGAGCTTTTAGGCAAAAATAAAAGAAAAATACAAAAACGGGGTCGGTGATTTTATATGCCACAAAATTGAGTTTTTTATGTCAAGCTCTCAAATGATACAAACTGTTCTGATCAATAAAATACCTAATCTAAAAGTTACGCAAAAGCTAAGTTTAACAAGACTGCTCGTATCAGGGCAAAGCCTTGAATGTTCCGACTGCCTTTGAAGGTTTTATGGAGCAGTAATAACATTAAAAAAATTAATGTAATATAATAAAATGACATTTTTTTCTCTAAAATTTGATTTTTTTTTGAAAATCATCCCCCCACAAGCCATATAAAGTACAAAAGTATAAATTTCGCTCCTTGTAATAAATCAATTATGGCGAATTAGCTTCTTCCAACCAATTTGGAATGATTTTTAAGACGGATTAAACCTCCGCTTACGCGTTAATAGCGCGAATTATATCGCGCGTTAATTGTCCCAAAATGGCAAAAATGGCAATCTATAAGCCCTCATAACTTTACGAAAAATGATCACAGGTAAAATATCTTTTCAAATTTGAGCTCAGGACAACAATACTTTTTTAATGATATAAAAAAAAAATCCGTCAAAAATGGCTAGTTAAAAAGTCGAAAATTGTCTGAAGAAAAAAAACCCCACCCCGAGCACAAATATTCCGTTACTTTCTTATCGAAAGTCGGAACACTAAGAAAAACTATGTATTTTGATTCAGTAAGTCTTGCTAATTGCAAACGTAATCATAGAAAAACTGATTTAAAAACCGAACAAATCTGAGCACAATTTATGTTTCGATTTTATTGGCCAATTCCGAGAGTGTCTCAACAGTCCCCCCCCCCCCTAATCAATTAATGCTCGGTTTTCTGATCAGTTTTACATATGCTGCCTGAATTGAAGACCTCTATGCTCGACCTAAACTAACCTATATCGCAGTACCAAATTGCAGCACCAAACCCACAACTTCGAAACTCCCAAACTCGAAAAAAAAGGTAGAGCTGGGTTCGAAAATTTGAGATGTTTTGAAACACGTTGAAAATCGGTTTAATTTATAGATTTATTCTCCTTTACAGCTTTGTTCGAATGGGATCAATCGCCAACGAATGGTTCAATAATGACTGTACAGAATGACACCGATCTGATGAAAATCTTGAGCAAACCCTGCATAGCATTAAATGGATCAGAAGTGAGTAGCTCAAACTGCCGAAATGAATCAACGATGATTCTGAAGCACTACAAGCTGATTAGCACTAAAATGACTTGGCCAAACGCAAAAGATAATTGCGAGAACATTGGTGGCAGGTTGTACGACAACTTCAACGAGATTGGACAATTGGTAGCTGATTTTTCCCTTTCGACAAACAATTGGGAGTTTTGGATCGGCGTCTCGTCTTCCGCGAAAAGTGATACCTGGATCACGACACTAGGTATTGACGTGACTGATAACGCGCGACAGCTTTTCAACGATCCAGATTCTTGGCGCCAAGTGGATAGATGTATAAAATATGACGCAGAAAACCAGATATGGAGTATTAGCCGACCTCAGCCTAACGAATACTCAGAGTCGGTGTGTACCTTATTCGATGGACTTGGCAGCTGAAATAAAGATGAAGAACAGATTAGCTCGAGTTGGAGCGAATAGCTACTTTCAAAAGATTACAACTTACATCTTTCACTTTGATCCAACTACTGATGACTACACATTTTTGACTACCTTTTTTTGACTACATCTTTTTGACTACAAAAAATTCATTTCGTACCGAAACAATTTATACAACCACTACAATTTAAAGTAACTTCTATAAGTTAACGACGACATTTTAATTCAGAATCGAATTTAAGCTTACATCAGAAGTAACATCAAAGAATGAAGCGACACGAAGTTTTGCCAATTTAAAAAAATAATTGAGGGCTAACGAATGGATAAAGTTTTGACCGTGGGGAAGATCTAAAGCCCCCCCTCAGGGATTCGACCCCCTGCCGACCCAAAGGGTCCCCCTTTTGTATCATTTTGGGATATTTACTTTTGGTCCCGAAAGAGTGCTAAGCGATGAATCAAATATAGGCATCTTTATGAGAACAAAACAGCAAATTACCGTGATTCAACAGATTTCTAGCAATAAATAGCTCAACTGATATCTGTTCTAGATAAATCAGTCTATTTAATTGGTTGCGATGTTTTGTGAGACTTCAGGACCCAACAATTCGTCCATCTTGAAAGCACTTAAAGAGTAATGTACAGAGTTATCATGCCTAACGTTCAAATACAGTTGATCAGCTGATTTATGAAATTTTGTTAAAACTCGCCGATCATCTGGTTGATGAAAGTAAAACGGTAGAAAACGGTTGTTGGCCTATCAAAATTGATCTTCAAAACCTAAATGAAAGGTCCATCAAAATTTTGCATCGAGTATCATCTAAAAGTTACACGCTTTAGAATGAAAACTACGAACCAAATATAGTAAAAAGCTACAGAACTAAAGCAATCTTTCTTGGTTTCAACTCAATCCAATTTGCGTAATTTTTTCCGCATTCAAAAATTTTCGTCAAACTTATTTTGGGCTGAGGCCACATTTTGAATGTAACTGTAATTTGCAAAAAAAATCCATTCAGATACAATATAAGAAAAAACCGAAGTATGTTTTTATCATTAGCCAAAAACAGCTAAAACAGTTAAAAGTAGCTCATGTTAGAAAGCTTTTTATCTTGTCTAAATAAAGATAAATAGATATATACTGCGCTTAAAAGCTAGAAAAAAACAATAAAAATGATAAATTCGTTTAAAAATTGATTGAAATAAATCCTATTTCAATAAGATAATATATTAAAATAGACAAAAGTAGCAGATTCCGTGCAAAGAGCACAGATTAGTTTTAGCCAATTAGTTTTAGCCACCAACTGCACTGTAAACAAAGTTTCAAATGAGGAAAATTGTTTGGGATTGAAACTCAGTGTTACACGCTTATTGTCTCATAAAATTGGTCCTCAAAAATATGTAACCGCTCAGTCTTCAAGCAGATTTTAGGATTTGCTTGACTTAAGGCAAAAAAATCTGAGGGTTTTATCTTACCTAAACGCGTAAAATATTTGTGAATTGTTTATAATTTAATTTTAAAAAAATTATTTCTTTGCACCCAGGTAATGATGCAATTGTGTATTGAAAAAAAAACAATCCCTCCGCTATATTTTGCTTGGGACTAAAGATTAGAAAACAGCAAAACCGATTTGCAGGAGACGCAGGCTTCAATTGACACTGCCACGCTGGGCATTTTTACACCACATTCGAAAAGTCTCAAAAATTCCCGGCCTGAAAAATTACGAGAGGCTTGCATGAGTTCTGACAGAGCAAATTTGGTTTCTGTATATCGAATACCATGAAAGTCATGATAAATTTGATGCAAAACATAGGAATTGCAATGATGTATGTGGTCAATCTTCTACCATCCTAAAACCTACAACAAAAAGTTCAAAAAATTCTTTGATAGATTTGAGCTAGCAGAATTGGTCCTAGTATCAGATATGGAGTATTAGCCGACCTGCCTAACGTGATCTTAGAGTCGGTGTGTACCTTAGTTGATGGACTTGGCAGTTGAAACAAAGATGAAGAACAGATTTGCTCGAGCTGGAGCGAATAGCTACTTTCAAAAGACTACAACTTCCATCTTTTACTTTGATCCAACTACTGATCACTACATCTTTATGACTACCCTTTTGACTACATCTTTTTGACTACAAAAATTTCATTTCGTACCGAAACAATTTATACAACAACTACAAATTAAAGTAACTTCTATAAGTTAACGACGACATTTTAATTCAGAATCGAATTAAAACTTACATCAGAAGTAACATCAAAGAATGAAGCGACACGAAGTTTTGCCAATTTAAAAAAATAGTTGAGGGCTAACGAATGGATAAAGTTTTGACCGTGGGGAAGATTTAAAGCCCCCCCTCAGGGATTCGACCCCCTGCCGACCCACAAGGTCCCCATTTTGTATCACTTTGGGATATTTACTTTTGGTCCCGAAAGAGTGCTAAGCGATGAATCAAATATAGGCATCTTTATGAGAACAAAACAGCAAATTACCGTGATTCAACAGATTTCTAGCAATAAATAGCTCAACTGATATCTGTTCTAGATAAATCAGTCTATTTAATTGGTTGCGATGTTTTGTGAGACTTCAGGACCCAACAATTCGTCCATCTTGAAAGCACTTAAAGAGTAATGTACAGAGTTATCATGCCTAACGTTCAAATACAGTTGATCAGCTGATTTATGAAATTTTGTTAAAACTCGCCGATCATCTGGTTGATGAAAGTAAAACAGTAGAAAACGGTTGTTGGCCTATCAAAATTGATCTTCAAAACCTAAATGAAAGGTCCATCAAAATTTTGCATCGAGTATCATCTAAAAGTTACACGCTTTAGAATGAAAACTACGAACCAAATATAGTAAAAAGCTACAGAACTAAAGCAATCTTTCTTGGTTTCAACTCAATCCAATTTGCGTAATTTTTTCCGCATTCAAAAATTTTAGTCAAACTTATTTTGGGCTGAGGCCACATTTTGAATGTAACTAAAATTTGCAAAAAAAATCCATTCAGATACAATATAAGAAAAAACCGAAGTATGTTTTTATCATTAGCCAAAAACAGCTAAAACAGTTAAAAGTAGCTCATGTTAGAAAGCTTTTTATCTTGTCTAAATAAAGATAAATAGATATATACTGCGCTTAAAAGCTAGAAAAAAACAATAAAAATGATAAATTCGTTTAAAAATTGATTGAAATAAATCCTATTTCAATAAGATAATATATTAAAATAGACAAAAGTAGCAGATTCCGTGCAAAGAGCACAGATTAGTTTTAGCCAATTAGTTTTAGCCACCAACTGCACTGTAAACAAAGTTTCAAATGAGGAAAATTGTTTGGGATTGAAACTCAGTGTTACACGCTTATTGTCTCATAAAATTGGTCCTCAAAAATATGTAACCGCTCAGTCTTCAAGCAGATTTTAGGATTTGCTTGATTTAAGGCAAAAAAATCTGAGGGTTTTATCTTACCTAAACGCGTAAAATATTTGTGAATTGTTTATAATTTAATTTTAAAAAAATTATTTCTTTGCACCCAGGTAATGATGCAATTGTGTATTGAAAAAAAAACAATCCCTCCGCTATATTTTGCTTGGGACTAAAGATTAGAAAACAGCAAAACCGATTTGCAGGAGACGCAGGCTTCAATTGACACTGCCACGCTGGGCATTTTTACACCACATTCGAAAAGTCTCAAAAATTCCCGGCCTGAAAAATTACGAGAGGCTTGCATGAGTTCTGACAGAGCAAATTTGGTTTCTGTATATCGAATACCATGAAAGTCATGATAAATTTGATGCAAAACATAGGAATTGCAATGATGTATGTGGTCAATCTTCTACCATCCTAAAACCTACAACAAAAAGTTCAAAAAATTCTTTGATAGATTTGAGCTAGCAGAATTGGTCCTAGTATCAGATATGGAGTATTAGCCGACCTGCCTAACGTGATCTTAGAGTCGGTGTGTACCTTAGTTGATGGACTTGGCAGTTGAAACAAAGATGAAGAACAGATTTGCTCGAGCTGGAGCGAATAGCTACTTTCAAAAGACTACAACTTCCATCTTTTACTTTGATCCAACTACTGATCACTACATCTTTATGACTACCCTTTTGACTACATCTTTTTGACTACAAAAATTTCATTTCGTACCGAAACAATTTATACAACCACTACAAATTAAAGTAACTTCTATAAGTTAACGACGACATTTTAATTCAGAATCGAATTAAAACTTACATCAGAAGTAACATCAAAGAATGAAGCGACACGAAGTTTTGCCAATTTAAAAAAATAGTTGAGGGCTAACGAATGGATAAAGTTTTGACCGTGGGGAAGATTTAAAGCCCCCCCCCCTCAGGGATTCGACCCCCTGCCGACCCACAGGGTCCCCATTTTGTATCACTTTGGGATATTTACTTTTGGTCCCGAAAGAGTGCTAAGCGATGAATCAAATATAGGCATCTTTATGAGAACAAAACAGCAAATTACCGTGATTCAACAGATTTCTAGCAATAAATAGCTCAACTGATATCTGTTCTAGATAAATCAGTCTATTTAATTGGTTGCGATGTTTTGTGAGACTTCAGGACCCAACAATTCGTCCATCTTGAAAGCACTTAAAGAGTAATGTACAGAGTTATCATGCCTAACGTTCAAATACAGTTGATCAGCTGATTTATGAAATTTTGTTAAAACTCGCCGATCATCTGGTTGATGAAAGTAAAACAGTAGAAAACGGTTGTTGGCCTATCAAAATTGATCTTCAAAACCTAAATGAAAGGTCCATCAAAATTTTGCATCGAGTATCATCTAAAAGTTACACGCTTTAGAATGAAAACTACGAACCAAATATAGTAAAAAGCTACAGAACTAAAGCAATCTTTCTTGGTTTCAACTCAATCCAATTTGCGTAATTTTTTCCGCATTCAAAAATTTTAGTCAAACTTATTTTGGGCTGAGGCCACATTTTGAATGTAACTGTAATTTGCAAAAAAAATCCATTCAGATACAATATAAGAAAAAACCGAAGTATGTTTTTATCATTAGCCAAAAACAGCTAAAACAGTTAAAAGTAGCTCATGTTAGAAAGCTTTTTATCTTGTCTAAATAAAGATAAATAGA